GGGAGGGAGCCGTCTGAGCGCCGAACGCTGTCCCAGGCGCCTTTAGGCACTCTCCCAGACACAGTTCCCACCAGGCGCTGGACCTCCGAGCTATGCACAGACTGAAATCACCTCTACTCCCCTCTGGTTGGGCCACTTGGCAGGTCCCCGGCCCAAAAATCCTAGGGAGGGAGCTTTCCGGGCGCTGAACGTTGGCCTAGGCGCCCTCAGGCACTTGCCCAGACACACTGCGTGTGGAGTGACTAGCTCCCCAAATTGCGCGGAGGCTGAAATTTCTTCCACACCTCTCCGCCTGGGCCACTCGGCCTGCCCAGCAGAAAAATTCCAGGGAGGGAGCAGTCCGGGCGCTGAAGGCTGTCCCCAGGAGCCGTTTGGCTCTGGCCACAGGGCGCTGGTTCCCCTACCCTGCACCGGCTGTTTCTCCCTGCTCCGTCCCAGAGACTACTGTACCGCTGCTGTCTCCCTACCGTCTGGTTCCTCCGGGACCGATGAGGTTTCTGGTCTCTTATTTTCATATATGCTTGGCAACTGCTGGCTTGCTGGCCTCACCTCCTCCGATCGGATAGGTTTCTGTCTCTTTTGTACTAGGAACTGGTATCTGCTCCGTCCTAGTCCACCGCCATCTTGAAAGCCCTCCACCACATTGTGTCTTCTTTATTTCCTTAATCTCTGTTTGTTCTCTTTGCAAGTTTGTATTTGTTTCCAATTTGATTAATGATTTTTGTTAAGTAAAATTATTTTCTGAAGTTCATGTAAATAATTTTATTCCAGCTTTCTTTTTAAAACTTTTAATTGAATGGAATTCTGGTTTTATCTAACTATTAAAACTTATTTTTCCTTGATAAGGAAGAACTGTAGATCTTTTTATTAATTAAAGCAAAAATATGTAGTGTACAATCAGCAATCAAGCTCCTTGGCATTTACCCAAATGAGCTGAAAACTTACGTGCAAACCAAAGCCTGCACTCACACATTTGTAGCAGCTTTGTTGGTAATTGCTAAAATTTGGAGTCAACCAGGATGTCCTTCAGTAGGTAAATAGATAAACTATGGTATATCGAAAAAAAAAAAAAAAAAGGAATATTATTCAGCACTAAAGAGAAATGTGCCATAAGCTATGAAAAGACACAGAGGAACCTTAAATGCATATTACAAAGTGGAAGAAGCCAATCTGAAATGGTTGCTTGCTGTATGATTTTAACGATACGAGATTCTGGAAAAAGGCAAAACTATGGAGATAGCAAAAAAAAAAATCAGTGCTTGCTAAGGATGAGGAGGAAGAAGGGAATAATAGAGCACAGTGATGTTTAGGGCAGTGAAACTGTTCTGTGCGATTCTGTAAGCTGCATATGTGTTATGCACTTGTCCAAACTCATAGAATGTGCAGCACCAGGAGGGAACCCTGATGGACTTGTGGTGATGATGTATCAGTGTGGTTTCATATAATCCATTGACATAATTCAAGAGAAGTAAGATACAGGACTTATATCAGTGGCATAACAGTGAAAGTTAATTAAACTTCAGCAAATACATAGAATATTAAAAATAAGTAAAATTATATATGCAATATTTAGCAAAAAAGGATATTGTGATTTTTAAAATTTTTTTAAATTGAGTTTTACACAGGGAAGTTCAGGGGAAGAGAGAGAGAGAAACATTGATTTGTTTTTCCACTTATTTATGTATTCGTTGGTTGCTTCTTGTATATGCCCTGACCAGGGATCAAATCCACAATCTTAGTGTATCTGGACAATACTCTAACCAGCTAAGCTACCTGGCTATGCATTGTTTATCATTTTTAAGGGAAGTTAGTAGAGAACCTTCAAACAAAATTTGAGGACATGACACCTCTGTGGTGTGTGCTGCTTTGTCACACAGCCACACTTCTCGAAACCTCTGAAATCCTTACTCGCACAGGCAGTGTGCCCAGCGCAGCGCTTCTCATCCCTTATCGTATGTTGGAATTATTTTGGTGCCTTAAGAACAGCCATGATAAATGAAGCCTGTGCCCTGGAGATTTGAAACCAAATCCCTCGGGGTAGGGCCTGAGCATCTGTAGTTACAGAACTGATGATCGTGCACAGCGAGGTTTGAAAACTACGAGTGCAGAGTAGTGGTTAATAATGCTTATCATCTCCAAAGGAACACAGGAACACTAACCCTGTCCTGCACTTTTTAAGGATGGCCAATAGTCTTCCTGGTAGAATATGAACAGAAAAGGAACATTAACTACATATAGAGTTCGAAACTTAACTATAAACAAATAGTTAACAAATTTCAAAACAAAACTATAGAATTTACTAAGTAGCAGTTGACTTAATATCCTTTAACACTTAAAAATTCAGAAAGTTGAAATACTCTGAAAAGTTCATATCAAACAATATAATTTATGGAATTCTTAATAGAATTTTGTGATTAATAACTAATCCCTAAAGTTCTAGATTTTTAGATTAATAATTAAAAATGGGACTAATTTCTGATAACAAAGAATTTTGATGCTGTTGTAAAGGTGTCTTGGCTTTATAAGGGTGCAATGGTAATGACAAATCAGGAACTGTTTATATTCGAAATACCATGAGCATTTTTTGATGTAATTGTGCTTACAGTTTTTATGTTTTTTTCTTTTCTTATCAAACATTTAACTTTGTATTAGATATCAGTAGCTGATCTTCCTGGTTTAATAGAAGGAGCACATATGAACAAAGGAATGGGCCACAAATTCCTGAAGCACATAGAAAGAACTAAACAGCTGCTTTTTGTTGTAAGTCATGTACATCAATGCACTATTCAACTGAATGTGAAAAATCAATTAATTCAGTTTTCCTAGAAATCGTTCATATGTTTAAAGTGGTAACATATGTGACTCCATTGAGTCTGTGTAAATGGGAGTCAAGTACAGTAAATAATCTTTGTAACATGTCAGTGGAAATGGCATTACTTACTATCTCAGATGTAATTTCGGCCGTACCTGTCAAGGTTTGCTTCCTTAAGATTTCCAGCATAGTCCATGTTATCTGGTGTCTTTTTCCTACTTTATTGGTGGTGCTGGAGTTATACAGCTGACCCTCAAACAACATGGGTTTGAACTCTGCGGGTCTATTTACATGAAGATTTTTTTCAATAAATACCTGTACTGTTATTGATCCAGTGTTGGGAGTCTGCTGATGTGGAGGCCTGCTGTGTGCCTTAATCTACACCATTTAAGTATTTATTGATTTTAAAGAGAGGGGAAGGGAGGGAAAGACAGAGGGAGAGGGAGAGTAACATCGATGTGAGAGAGAAACGTCAATCAGTTGTCCCTCTCTGGGGCCCCAAGCAGGACTGAAACCGCTCCATCCAGGACCAAACGCTCAACCTAGGCACATGTCCTGACTGGGAATTGAACCTGTGACCTTTCGGTTTATGGGCCAGCACTCAGCCGGCTGAGCCACACTGGCCAGGGCAACATGCCATTGTACATCCAGGAACTACCATCCACAGATCTTGGTATCCTTGTGGGGGTCCTAGAACTAGTATCCTAATCCCCCACAAATACTGAGGGGCTGTAATTAAGTTTTGGGGGAGGGAAAAATTATACACAGATTTTCAGCTGTGCTGGGTAGCGTGTAGGTGTTGGTGTCCCTAACCCCCATATTGTTCAAGGGTCAACTGTTTATGAGATTGTACCTACTCATAAATATTGTCTTATCTATACTAGTTTTTCACTTTATTAGTGGTTGTGATTTTGTCCGAATAATTATAGTTATCTTGATACTTCGGTTTCTCTTATTTATTTTGAATTGCCAAATCACCCATAGATTGAAAAATTATTTTTAGCTTGAGAGAATAAAACATTTCAGAACAAATGTACAGCTAACCTTGTGTTAAAGCCTGTTTCTTTCCCTCTTTTTTTTAGGTTGATGTTTCTGGATTTCAGCTTTCTTCTAAGACTCAGTACAGAACTGCTTTTGAAACCATAATACTGCTGACAAAGGTAGGTTTTCTGTTTCAGTGTCACTGTGTGCTGCATTTGGTCTGGTACCGGCACACAAGACTGTATGAAACAATGAATGACAAGTAAAATAAATATATATTCCACCTCTGCTTTTTGAACCTTTGACATTAAAGAATTATCTAATCTTGTCCTAGTTTTCAATATTAACCTGCTCCTCAACCTACTGCAACCAGTAAAATTCTCCTTATTGCATACTTCTTAGACTTTATCTTGCTTAAACTTTTATTCTTACTTCTTAGACTATTTCTCAGTCTATTATTTATACTCTTTCCTGTTATTATTTAATTAGCATTCACTACAGCAAATATACCAGTGACTGTCTGATACCCAGATCTTTTGGTTGAGTGTTCGACCAGCTGCCTCTTAGACACCTTTGATTAGGTATACCATTAACTTCTCAGACTTAATATGTATAAAGCTGAACTCTTCTTTGTTAACTCTCCAGCCTCCTCCAGAACTTATTGGGTATTGAAGCCGGAAACCTGGGTGGTAGTCTTGGTTCTCCCTGTCTGACCACCGGTGTCCGGCCCTGTCAGGTTTATATCCTGAGTCTCACTGAGGTCCATCTGCTTGTCTTCATTCCCACTGGACGGTCATCAGCCCTTCTCATTAGAACATTGTGAGTCCGTCCTGTCTGATCTTCTTGCTGCCAGTTTCATTTCTGTGCAGTCCATTTTTTTTTTTTTTTGTGACAGCCACAGTTAGCTTTGTAAAAGAACCGGGCTGATGTTTGTTCCATGTTTAAAACACTTCAATGGTGCCCTGTTGTTGTAGGTTAAAGTCTAACCTGAACGTAGTTCATGAGGTCTGGCAGCACTGGGCTCCCGCCTTGCAGTCCATCTGTTTTTCCTCCTGCCCCTCTCCCATTCTGTGTCCAGCCCCCCACCAACACAGTGGGTGATGTTTCCTACCTCCAGGACTTTGTGTATCCTGTTTCCTTTGCCGCTTTTTGCCTATTATGAATAACACTGCTGTGAGCATTTGTGTACAGGTTTTTGTATGGACTTGTTTTCATTTCTCTTGAGTATATACCCAGAAGTGGAATTGCTGGATACTATAGTAACTCTGTGTTTAACATTTGGAGGAACTGCCAAACTGTTTTCCCAAGTGGGTGCACTGTTGCACATTTTACAGCTCTCACAATATATGAGGGTTCCAGTGTTTCCATATTAATGTCAACACTGGTTATTGTCTATTTTTTTTATTTTAGCCACCCTAGTAGGAATAAAGTGATGTTTCATTATTGTTTTGATTTGCCTTTCCCTAGTTATTGATGATGATGGTAGTCTTTCCAAGTGCTTATTAATCATTTGTTGTCTTTGGAGAAATGCCTATTCAGATTCTTTGCCCATTTTTTTATTGAGTTATTTTTCTTTTTATTGTCAAATTGTAAGAGTTTGTTATGTTTTGGGTATATTTTGGATATATCCAAGTCCCTTATGAGATACATGATTTGCAAATATTTTCTCCCATTCTGCCAATTGTCTTTCCACTTTATGTATGTTATATTTTGAAGCACAGAATTTTACATTTTCATGAAGTCCCATTTGTTTATTTTTTCTATTGCTGATGCTTCTTGGTATCATAGATAAATAAATAAATATAATACAGTTATAAAGATTTATTTCTATTCACTTTTGAATTTTATCTGTGTGTTTAATAGAAGTCCAGATATTTGACCCCAGTTGGTGTGGCTCACAGTGGGTTGAGCGCCAGCCAGCCTGTAAACGGAAAGGCCATGGGTTTGATTCCCAGTCAGGGCACATGCCTGGGTTGTAGGCCAGGTCCCCTATTGTGGGCGTGCGGTAGGCAACCAATCAGTGTTTCTCTTTCACATCAATCCTTCTCTCCCATTCTTTCTCCCTCCCTTCCCCTCTCTCTAAATAAAATAAATAAAATCTATTAAAAAATAGAGGTCCAGTTGCTTGTATTTAATTCGAGATACAAATCACAGTTGTCTCTAGAATGTCATATAAGCTAACATATATTAACACATGGCCTAACTATTAAACATTTTCTGAGTTTCCTTTGTTGATGAACTCTGTGGTTGTTGAGACTTACTACATTTCAGAGATATGACTGAGCTTTAGATTACACAGGCCTACAAGGTAAAAACAGATATTACCAAACAGCTACTCTATATAGTTATTTTAATAAAAAATTTGTTTTTTTCACCCCGGCCAGTGTGGCTCAGTTGGTTAGAGCATCATCCTGTAAACTGAGAGGTCATAGATGTACAGTCGGGGCACATTACCTAGGTTACAGATCTGATCCCCAGCTGGGGCACGTGCAGGAGGGAACCAGTCGATGCCTGTCTGTCTGTCTGTCTCTCTCCCTCCCTCTCCCGGTCTCCTTCTCTTTCCTCTTCTCTTTGGAATCAATGGATATATTCTCCAGTGAGGATTTGAAAAAAATTATTTGGTTTTTCTTTTCTTTTTTTTATTTAAAGGAGCTGGAATTGTACAAAGAGGAACTTCAGACAAAACCTGCACTCCTGGCAGTAAATAAAATGGACTTACCAGATGCCCAAAATAAATTCCATGTGCTAATGGACCAACTCCGGAATCCTCAAGGTAAAACCCATTCATTCATTTAATGCCAATTTAATGAATACCAGTCAGTGCAGAGTGTATAACCAGTGGAAAAGAAAACTAACATTGCTAGCCTTAAAAAACATATGTTTGAAGAACCCGAAACATATGAAACATTCAAATAACATTGTAATGTAGTACTTACCAAGTTTCAGAATGTGTGATGTAAATAGTGAGAGGAGACAAGAAAAAGATAATTGGAGCTGAAAAGGTCAGGTTTCATGAAGAAGTAAAACTTATATGGGGTCCTTAATAAGTTAATGGGATTTGGATCAGAAAAGGCAAAAGCCAGCATCTCCCTGTAAAGTCTTCACTTGAATGTATTTCACAGGTTCTAGACCTTCATTCCTCTAGTACACCATAAATGTAAACACAGCTAACAGTTGAGGTGTGTATCTTTGTAATGTCAGCTGTATTGGGTCTTTGAAGAGCACTAATTTTCTAAAAATAATTTGAGTACATGTTGTCTGTGTGTGTATAACACAGAAAAATGATGTTATTCCAAAAGGATCTATGTGTTTGAAATTTGTTCCTAAATGAAGCACTTCATGTAAAGGAACTTAAAGGGACCTTCCACTCAGGAATATCGGGCTTTGCGGAGCTCTCTGTCCTTCAGTGATGAGGCTTGTTCTGCCTCTCAGAGTCTGGAGGAGAACTTGTACACAAATGAGAAAAAGTAGGGGAATGGCAAGTTGTTCACAGGGTTTTAAATAGTACTAGTTTCTCTTCTTTTATCCTTGGGATAAAAATTGGGGAAAATAAATTATTATTAGGACTGTCAACACCAGAAGATTCTTTCTCCCCTCAAAAATATTTTCTCATTATAATTTACATACAGGAGCTGCCCTTGAGTTAATCAGTTACTTTGGGGATATGAATCCTCCATGGGATTAGTAAATAGTTTTTATTTTTTAATGTCATTTGCTTTATGAGCCCATTAGATCTATTTGCTGGTCAGTTTTACAGAAAAGGGCATTTCAGAAGAGGTACCAGAAGGGAGAGTAACTCAAGAGTTTGTGGTTATTTTGGACTGTCATGAAACAAAATGTAGTCCCATTAGTGATAATTCCTGAATTAACCTCTGTGGACTTCCCGGGGGCATATGAATCTTAGAAACCAAGCTCCATGTTAGCTCGTCCATTCTTTTTCAGCCCTGCCTTTCCAGTTCATACCAGTATTAACCCATCTCATCAGTATGCCATCCCTCATCCCATTGCCTTGGGTCCAGGGGAGAGGAAAGCGGAATATAACAGCTTTCAGCCTGTGCAGTGATAGAGTGGACTGGACTGGAGTGATCTCCCCTTGAACTACCCCACACCTTTTTTAGTTTAGTAGGGCTCCTTGTACCAATGGTGATAAGCCTGTACTTTAGGGTGGTTAAAGGCCCTCTGTGTACTGCGGCAAGCTGGAGAATTCCACATCACAGATGATGTTATTTTTGTAGAAACGTTCTTTCACACAATCTATGTTGCCTCACTTTATCAAACCCCACCCTGCCAAAGCAACTTGCTTCTGTAAGTAAATCATCTTCTGTGATTCTCTAATTTATGCTTAATTTAGTTTAAAATATCTTCATCTAACAAATAATTTACTAAGCATCTAACGTGTAACAAGAACCTTAACCATTGTCACTAGTAAAAACCAAGGGTTCTGAGGACTTATTAGAAACAGAAAAAGAATTAAAAGTGCTAAGTTTTCAGTGTCTTGGTTCACAAATCAAACCTTTAACCTAGTTTTGACTTAACTTTTTTTTAAGTTAAATTTTATTGATTATGCTATTGCAGTTGTCCTGATTCTCCCCCTTTGCCCCTCCACCCAGCACCCCACACTCCCTCAGGCAACCCCCCACCATTGTCCATGTACCTGGGTTATAAGTTCTTTGGCTACTTCTTAAGCTGCTCCATTTCCTATACTATATTTTACATCCCCATCGCTATTCTGTGTCTGCCTATTTGTACTTCTTAATCCCCTCACCTCTTACCTGTTCCCCCACACTCCCCTCCCATTTGGCAACCATCAAAATACTCTCCGTATCCATGATTCTGTCTCTGTCCTTCTTGTTTGCTTAGTTTGTTTTTTAGCTTCCATTGCTGATATATATTTATTGCCATTTTACTGTTCATAGTTTTGATCTTCTTTTTCTTAAATAAGTTTCTTTAGCATTTCATATAATATATTTCATATAATAATGGTTTGGTGATGATGAACTCCTTTAGTTTTTTCTTTTCTGGAAAGCTCTTTATCTGCCCTTTGATTCTAAATGATGGCTTTGTGTAGAGCAGTCTTGGCTATAGGTCTCCGCTTTTCATCACTTTGAATATTTCTAGCTAGTCCCGTTTGCCTGCAAAGTTTCTTTTAAGAAATCATTTGACAGTCTTATGGGAACTCATGTGCAGGTGACTAACTGCTTTTCTTTTGCTGCTTTGAAGATTCTCTCTTTATCTTTAAACTTTGGCCTTTTAATTATGATGTATCTTAGAGTGGGCTTCTTTTAATCCATCCGGTTTGGGACTTGCACGTCTATTTCCTTCACCAGATTAGGGAATTTTTCTTTCATTATTTTTTCAAATAGATTTGCAATTTCTTGCTCTTTCCTCTTCTCCTTCTGATGCAAATGTTAGACCTCTTGAAGTTGTCCCAGAGGCTGCTTATAGTTCCCTCATTTTTTAAATTCTTTTTCCTTCTTGTTGTTCTGATTGGTTGTTTTTTGCTTCCTTATATTCCAAATCATTGACTTTTTTCTCAGCTTCATCCACTCCACTGTTGATTCCCTATAAATTCTTCTTTATTGCACTTAGTGTGTCTTTTGTTTCTGACTGGATCATTTTTATGCTGCTGAGGTCCTCACTAAGTTCCTTGAGCATCCTTATAACCACTGTTTTGAACTCTGCATCTGGTAGATTGCTTATCTCCATTTCATTTAGCCCCTTTTCTGCAGTTTTGATCTGTTTTTCACTTGGACCATGTTTCTTTGTCTCCTCATTTTGGCAGCCACTCTGTGTTTGTTTCTGTGTATTAGGTAGAGCTGCTTTGACTCTGTGTCTTGGTAGTGTGGCCTAAGGTTGTAGGTGTCCTCTAGGGTTTACTGGCACAGCCTCCCCTATAAAGGTGCACCTTTCGTGTGGGCTGAGTATACCTTCCTCTTGTACTTGAGCATTTTTTGCTGTAGGCAGATCAATGGGAGGCCAGTCAGTGGCAAGGATTGGCTGTGACCACTTACCACTAACCTCTGCCCTCTGTTGAGGATCAGTTATGCAGGGGCAGGTTGGTGGTGCTCAGATGTGGTCTCTAGCTGTCTACTGGGTGTGCTGGCCTTGGGGTTTCCCTGGGTAGTGCAGGCCAAGGTCATCCCCACCTCTTTTGCCCCAGAGCCACCTGGCCTTAACTACAAAGCAATCTGAGATGGCTGCTACTTGTGCTTGACATGGAGATTCCCAGGCAAAGCCAAGCAGTGAATCTAGGCTGGCTGCTGCTAATGCCCTGCCTGGGGCTCACCAAGGCCAACTATTGCTTGTTTGAGAGGTTTTATGAAGTTGCAAAGTATGAGCCAAGACCAGTCCTTCACAGGGAAAAGCAGCTTGGGTGGGCCCATAAGTTGGGTGGGGCAGAGTCTCTCGGGATTTTAAAGGGGGGGCATCAAACAGTGTTAGCCAGTTTGTTGGAGTCTTCAGATATGGCATCAGCTTGCCAGCTCTGTGGGGAAGGTTTAGAAAAGGGACAATGGCCTCTACTGGCCTTGATGCCAGATACTTCAGTTCCTCCTTGTATACCACTGGTTTCTTTCAAGCTGCTACCCTGGTGCTGGAGCTCAGAGGGAGTGAGTCTGTGAAGGTGAGTCAGTGTGTATGGGTTCTTTTGAGAGGAAATGCTTAGGGCTCCAGCATTTTTTTCCACCACCTCAATCCCTACTGGTATTTGCAGGCAGAAGTTGTGGGGGCTTATCTTTCCTGCACTGGAACCCTGGGGTGGGGGGCCTAGTGTGGGACTGGGATTCCTTGCTCCTGAGATATTCCTCCCAAATTTTTATCCACCGCTCATGGGTGAGAGATCAGCCTGTTCTGCATCTGTGCCCCTCCTACCAGTGTGGATAGATGTGATTTTTTTAATTCTGTAGCTGTCAGACTTCCATTCAACTCAATTTCTGATAGTTCTGAGTGATGCTTGTTCTATATTTAAGTTGTAATTTTGATGTGGTTGTGCAAAGAGGCAAGCCATGTGTGCCTGTGCTGCCATTTTGACTGGGAGTCCAGTTTTAACTTACTTTCAAAGACAATGAAGATCATCATAGTTATATGGGTTTTGTTTCAGATTTTCTGCATTTATTTGAAAAAAACATGATTCCAGAGAGGACAGTGGAGTTCCAACATATCATCCCCATCTCTGCAATTACTGGAGAAGGAATTGACGAATTAAAGAACTGCATAAGGAAATCTGTGGATGAATATGCAAACCAGGAAAATGACGCATATCATAAGAAACAGTTGCTTAATTTACAGATTTCCAGTACAATATCTTATACTGAGCCACTATCAAAGAATACTGTTACTAGTTCTAAAATGGATACAATTTAAATCTATTCAAAATGATATGGAAGTTGTGTTCATTTGAAAGCTTTTCCACTGACATGTATATTTTAGAATGTTAGTTATTACTAACCTTCTCATAAATATACCATCATTTGAGAACCATATCTTTTTAAGTTTTACAGTTAAGTGTATCAACAGTAAAAAAGTGACTGAAAGCTAAAATGACAGTTTATAATTTTATGGTCAATCCACCTATAATAAAGTCCTCCAATAGTCCTGTACTTATGATATATGTAGTGAGGTCTTTTTTTAAGTAAAAGGATTTGTAGAGTGTTAGGAGAATGAGCAACCAGGTTTTGTTCATTTTGGGGTCTGTTATGTACCTGGTACAACTATTCTATATAATAGGTCTCATTTTTAGAAAATTGAAAAACCCTAAATTTGAACATATGTTCAGTGATAACAGATCACTGGTAATAGTTAGCAGAAACCAGGAAATAACAGTCATACCTTGGTAATTGTCGGCTTCATACTTCATCAAACCTGGCACTCGTCACATTTTGATGAAAAAAAAAATGTTTCGGCCCTCAGTGCTTGCTCAGGACTGGTCTCACTGGAAAGAACTTGTGTGAGTCGCGACCCCATGCTGCAAGGGAAAATGCTCCATCACTTGTGGTCTGCTCGGCACTGGTAGATTTTGGCACTCATCATGGGTTCTGGAATGAATTAACGACAAGTAGCGAGGTACTGTAGATGGTTGTGATTTCAGCTTTTGGAAAATTTTCTGAAGTATAAGAGTATTTTTTCCAGCATTGAAGCATACTGATATGTGACTCATTGTCTTGTGTCTTAGTCTGTTCCATTGTCTACTTTTTACATTTTAATAAAAAGAGAATAGGACTTGCAAACTTTAAATAATGTTATCAATCAATCATCAATATATTCTTGAGATTATCATTTCTATCTCAGGTTCAAAAAATTTACAAATTGGACATTTTCTTTATATGAGTTTTAGTATAAAATTTACTATTATCTTGTAAAATATAAAATTTAAACAGTGCAAAAGCATATAAAATTTTTAAAAAGTTCCATCTTTCTGCATTAGGCACTCCAGGCCTTCCTAGACAAAACCACTGTTAATAGTTTCTTGTGTTTTTGCAGAATTTTTAAATTTATGTATCTTTTTACCCAAATGAGTTTATTATGTAAACCTTTATAAGTTTATTTTTTTACAAAATAGTAACAAGTTAATGAGCTTTTAATAATTATTCTTCAATTCTGCTTCTAAATTATTAGGAATTATTTTGGAATTTAAGGCTTAGAATTTGGAAGCCATTGCATATAAGTATTAAAGAAAAATGGTGTAAGTATTGTTCTACTTAAACTTCTTCTGATTTGACACTGCGAGTGACGTTATACAAGTATTATTTCCCTTTTACTTGTTCTGTTCTATGTAGCCCACTCCCACATCTCATCCCTTTCCCCAGATTACTGGCTTTTCTTGTACTTCTTTGTCCTTCATTGCCTAGGTGTTTGCTGAGTGTCTCTCCTGTGCCTGGCACTATGCAGGACATTTCATGTACAGTGCTGAAGAGGACAGACAGGGTCTGCGGCCCTCCATGGACTGCACATATGTTAGCACAAACTGCAGGGTGTTGGAGTAGCTTGCTTTCACTTTCTAACAAAGGAATAAAAATGAGGACGGTATTTGGAATTTGAATGTCTGGTCATAATGACTGTGTTTCATATTGGGTATGATTTACACTTACAACTTCAGGGTCATTTTTTTACTTCATTATTTCCTAAATATACACAAGTAGCAATGTGAGGACAGTTGCGTCAAGTGGACTTCTGAAGCTCTGACACCATAATTTTATTCTCTGCTGTTGGCAAAGGATAGTAAATGTGTATTGAGGATTAAGGGGAATTGTATCTCTTATGCTTTGTCACAGAGTTAACGAAACCTTTTAAAAAAGATTTTTTTTTATTTTTAGAGAGAGGAAGGAAGGGAAAAAAAGAGGGAGAGAAACAATAATGGCAGGACATGGATTGGTTGCCTCTTGCACCCCACCAACCAAGGGCCTGGTCTGCAACCCAGGCATGTCTCCGGACCAGGAATGGAACTGGCCACCTTTCGGTTTGAGGAGCAACACCAGCCATTGAACCATACCAGTCAGGGCCATGGAGAAATTTTAACATATGTTTTTCAGGTACAACAGAGAAAATAATTTATAAAGATATGTAAGATTTGAGCAACATAATTTACATACTTGACCTAATAGTCATGAATATAAACACTGGATCCTGAAACTGTAGAATATACGTTGCTTTCAAACGTGTGGATCATTATACAAAATCAATCTTATTTAAAAGCAAATAGCGGCAAGTTCCAGCAAATCAAGTTCATACAAAGTAAGTTCTTTGACTGCTAAGAAATTAGACTAGAAGTCAGTAATAAAAAATATGCTTAGAATGCATATATATTAAGAACTATATATCCTAACAACCGATGGGTCAAAGAAGAAATCATAATGGAAATTAGTGATTTTTGGGGAATTAGGAAATTTGAAGTGAATGTTCTGAAAATTAATGATATATTTAATCCATTATAAAAGGAAATTTTACCGAAATATATAAAGAAGAAAAGCTGTAAGGCAATGAACTGAACATCTATAATAAAAAGTTATAAAAAGAACTTAACATCTAAAGAAAATAAAAAGACAAAAATAAGAACAGCAACAAGTAGAAAACAAACATACAATAGAGAAGATCAACAAAGATAAAACTTGGTTCTTTGAAATGACAGTTTTATAACTCCCCCACCAGCACTATGAGGAATAGTAAAGAAATAAGGAGTAAGCTTAAATACCCAATATCAGGTATAAAAGGATATCAGCCCACAGATATTTAAAAACAAAGGTATATAAACTTTACATCACTGAATCGCATGTTTGTCAGAAATCAAACTTCACTCTTAATGTATTTTAATAAAAAGTCAAGAAAATACACATCGTACAAAATCTGACAGCAAAGAAACAAGATGTGAATACTTCTATATGTATTTTAAAATTAATAACCTTCCCACAAAGAAAATTCTAGGTCAGTTAGTTTTGCTGGTTGATTCAAACCAGATATGGAACAAATTATACCTACCTTACACAAATTCTTCTAGAGAATAGAAAAGAAGAGAATGGAAAACACCCTCCAGTCCATTTTCTGAGGCCAGCATAGCCCTGATACAAAGTATGGCAAGGGCTTTAGTAGGAGGAAAATTTGCAGTGCAATTACATTTATAAACAGATGCAAAAATCCTAAGCAAAAACGTTAGGTAAATGAATACAGAAATATGTAAGAGAGCTAACATGTAATGATTAAGGTGGGTTTATTTCAGAAATGGAAGGTTAGTTTAACATTCAAAAACTCAATCAGTGATGCAACTAACATAGTGACGGAAAACAGACCAGCAGTTGCCTGGGGCCTGTGTGGAGGGGTGCGTGGGAGGAGAGGTTCTGTAGAGACAATGACAGAGACACATAGATCCCTGACTCTGACTCCAGGCCCCTGAGAGCAGTTTCCCACCAGAACAGGACACCACAGAACCCCTCATTCTTACCTCGTTCGCCCACACACCATTTCTATGTGCTGTGAAAGTTCACTGTGAACTGTTCTGTACCCACCTATGTAAAAGAAATACGTGTCTATCCCTCTTCTTTTTTATCCAACCTCAGAGATTTCCCCACTTTTCTTTTTCCCACCTCTCTAATCTATCACCAGTGGATTTCTTGTAACCCCCTCCATCTTCTCCTTTGATTCTGATGTATAAAATTAGTGGTAAAACTGCCATTTTCCAGAGCATTTTCTCAATTCATTGAGATTTTTGCTTGCTGGCAATCATCAGTTTGGCTTAAATAAACTGGTAAAACTTCTCTATAGGTTTGGACATATTCTTACATTGACACAGGCCATTCCAAGGTCAGGAATAGCATCAGTGAACATTTAGGGTAAGTAATGTTAAACTTAGAGGCAGACATTCAAAGTAAAGGAGACGGTTCTGAGTCTTCACAGTTCTGAATGGTGACAGCACCTTTTAGGAATATCTGCCACTTGCTACTTCTTGACCGTGGGCAAATTATTTGACCTCTCTGACCTCAATATTTTCCTTTGTCATTAATATAGGGTTATTGTGATTATATTAGGTAATCCATGAAAAAAATGATTGGTGTGTAACACATGTACAGTGATACCTATGTACATAATATTATTTTTAAATTCACATAAGTATATATGTAAGGAAATTGTTGCATGTGTTTTAATGTGAAGAGGTCAATTTTTTGTATTTGGAACAGAGTGAAATGCTAGGTCTGACTCCGTCTTACTCCAGCCTACACTGTGCCCAAGGCCTTTCGGCCAATGGCTGCTCTTTAGACACATTGATCATTAGAGGAATTCTGCTCGGGGCTCCAGTTTTTACAAAAACAGCCCCTCCCATTTTCTCTTCCCTTGACCCAACCTTTACTTTTTAAAAGATGGATTTGAGAAACTGCTAGTACTCTCATCTTTTCAGCTGGCACCTTATTGATCAATAAAGTGTTTCTCATTCTAAACTCTGACGTTTTGAGTTTGGACCTTTTAGAGTGTCAGACATATGGACTTTGAACCAGGAATGTAAGGGAATAAGTGGCAAGAGCATATTTCAAATGAAGTCAGAGAATGTGGTTTCTAATTTGAGTGAAAAGGTATGAAGAAAATATCAGAAGATAATAAAGACTCCAATTTTATTATCTTCTGTGTTGAAAGACAAATGCCATATGATCTCACCTTTAACAGGAAGCTAAACAACAAAACAAACAAGCAAGCAGAATAAAAACAAAGATACTGAAATAGAGAACAAGGGGACAGTGACCAGAGGGGAGAGGGGAGGGAATTTAAGGGGGAAAAAGGGGAGGGATTTGGAGGAACAAGTATGAAGGAGACAGGGACGAGGACTAGAGGGGGAGGAAATGGGAGGGAGGTGGGGAGCACAGGGCGGGGTGGGCTGGGATGGGAGAAATAGAAAACTGTACTTGAAAAATAACTAAATTAAAAAAATAATAAAATAAAATAAAATAAAAATATAAAAAGTAAAAGACCACAATAAAAAAGAACATAACCCAGTCAGGGCACATACCTGGGTTGCAGGCCAGTTCCCAGCAGGGGATGCATGAGAGGCAACCATACATTGGTATTTCTCTCCCTCTCTCCTTCCCCTCTAAAGATAAATAAATAAAATATTTAAAAAAAGAACATGAGAAACCACTGACAAAATAGGAAATAATGGAAGGCATGAGAGTACAATGATTAATTTGTATGTGGAAACTGCTGAAATTGAAGTAATCACAGTTATCCACATGAGCTGGTAATTGGAAATAGTATTAGAGTTATGGAAAATTGTGGCAAGAGATGTGGATTTGGGGAGATGGAAAACAGATTGCCCTATGAGGACGTTTTTTATTGATGGAGCCTAGGACAGAGACTTGATAACTGGGGAGTGGAGAGAAGGAAGTGAAAGCAACAGGTAGAAAGGGAAATAATCAGAAAAGAAGTGGAAATGTTGATGTTTTCACATTCAAGAAAGAAGAGTTTAGAGGGGAAAAAAGAGGCATTTAGAATTGTGCAATGTGGATGGGGGTGGGGGTGGGCAGGGTGGGTGGGTGGAAGAGAATTAGGACCAAAAGGAGGCTTGTGAATTCAACTAGAAAGAGTTTGGAAACCATGGAAGGCAGAATAATGTTCCCCTAAGATGTTCTCATCCTTATCTCCAGGATCTGTGCATCAGTTCTGCACATGGCTAGTAGGGGTTAAGGTTGCTAGTCAGGTGACCATAAAATAGAGAAATTATCCTGGGTGGTTTGGATGGGTCCAATGTAATCAGAAGAATTCTTAAAAGATGAAAGATGGCCCTGGCTGGCATAGCTCAGTGGATTGAGCGCGGGCCTGTGAACCAGAGTATCGAGGTTCGATTCCCAGTCAGGGCACATGCCTGGGTTGCAGGCCAGTTCCAGGCAGGGAATGCATGAGAGGCAACCATACATTGATGTTTCTCTCCCACTCTTTCTCCTTCCCTTCCCCTCTCTCAAAAAATAAATAAATAAAATATTTTTAAAAAAAAAGAAAGATGGAGGCAGAAGAATATCAGAGTGATGTGATTTCATGCTGAAAGACTCAGCCAGCTATTTCAGGGTTTGAAGATGGAGGGGCCACAAGCCAGGGAACACAGGTATCCTCAGGAAACTGGAAGAGGGAAGGAAACTGATCCTCCCCGGGAGCCTCTAGAAAGAATGCAGCACTGGACACCTTGATTTTAGCCCAGTGAGCCCCATGCCAGAAGTGTAAGGTGATACATTATGGGATTGTAAGCCACTGAGTTTAGGATAATTTGTTACAGTAACAATAAGAAACTAACATAGTAATGAAGCAGAAATCTTTGTAGATTTTTTATGATGGTATATTGCAGTGAATTTGCTTTGTCTTACTCCTTAAAAAGGCTCTGTTGAGGAAAAACTGGGAAGACAGGATTGTTAATTGCTATCTAAAGTATTACCTAAAGTAATTTTGAGAATGATACTTTAATATTGTAGTCCCACTAGGGCATATAAAAATGTGTTCATCTTTGCTATAGTGAAGTACCCAAACTTGATCAGTAAGTCTAGAAATAGGATTTCCCGCCCCCATATTTTTGGAGCTGTTATTCTTAAGTTTTAATCAATTGCCTATACATCCCAGCTAAAGTCCGTTAACTAGGTAGTGTTCATTACTGATTGAGAAATACATTAGAAAATATTTTGGTACACAGCTATTTGATTCAATTCAGTTTTATAGATGAGAGAACTGGAGTTCAGAGCAAAAGAGTGAGTTATACTGTGTTACATTGTCATCATCATCCATCTGCTATTGCCAGAGCTGGCCTGGGACCCAGAACCTATCTGTACCCACATCCTTTTATCACCCAATGCTGTCTCTCTTTCAGTATTGAGAGGCTGCTCCAGCCAATTGACCTATGGAGCCAGGGCAAGTCTCTAAATTTTCAAGACAACCCTGCGATGTAGGTCATCTTACCCTCCTCTTAAAGATAATCTCAGAGAGAAGGAAGTTGCTTATTGTACGTACCCAACTGATACATACAATAGCAGAGACCCCTATAAACCTAGGCAGTTAAACATGTATTTTAAAAAATTTAAAGGATGCTGAAGTGTAATGATGATTACACACAATAAATGGAGATGAGATATGGCAAATGTTGATAATTGTTAAATATAGAAGGTGAGTCCATGGGTATTTGTTGTACAAATTCTCTGTACCTTTGAACATTTTCAAAATAAGAATTCGACTTCTTTACCACTTTGTGCTTAGCTAAATGATTCGAAGGGGAAAAAGTATTTAGGGATTATTTGCTGACGAACTTTATAGACAAATCACATTTAGTCGGAAATACCCAACTCAAAACTATTTTCAGTTTTTTTGTTGTTGTTGAACTTTTTTTTTTTTTTTTTTAAGACCAGTAACTCAAATCTGGACGGAACTGAAGGTGCATAAGGAATGGAGGGAGGGGGAGAAGGGGGGGGGGGTGACCGCCGGATGTTGCTGCAGCCGGCGGCCCAATGAATTCTGGGAATTGTAGTCTCCTAGTTATCCAGGGCATTCCCATTTAGATTAACCCTGGGAGATGAGTCGGCTCCCAGAAGCCTCCGGGGCGGTTCGCGGGGAACGTACTTCCTGGGAAACTGAGAGGGAGATCTTTGAGAGGCTCCTCGGTGTGGGCGAGAAGAATGCCTTGGGTGTGAGGAACAGGTAGGTGTAGTGGACAGTGTTAAGATTTCTCGGTCTTTTGCATAAGAAGTTGAGGATTTTGTGTGAAACAGGTAACTCGAAGGGAATCAGGGACATCGAAAGACCACAGTGGTGAGCATGAAAATTGAGCGAGGAGAGGCATTTGATAAAGCTTTAAAAATTTATTTTGTACACAGAAAGCATGGCAGTGTCGCAGTGTCTTGCGGGAGCAGCCCAGGGCTTGCGGCTTGGCTGGCTGGGTGTGCTCTGTGCAACTGCAAGTTGCTATTTCAGAATCCCCAGCTGCTGGTGGTTGTGTAATGATGACCTGCTCGCTGTTCAAACCCACTCACTGTTGCAGGCAAAGGATTGTTCTGGGAGCATTCCACAGCCACTGCTGCGGGCTCCCCATTGCTCGAATTAAGAGAGCCCCCTCCCCCTTTTCTTTCCGCCCGCTCTGGTTGCGGCTGAGGACATCGCTCCGAAGGAGGGGGAGAGCGGTGGGGGGAATGCGGATGACTTGGGAAGCTAGGTTTGCTTTCCTTGGTGACTGCACTTAAAATAATTGCTCAGGGATGCTAGGGTGTGTTTCTAATTGTAAAGTGATTCACCTAATTTAGGAGTGAGCAATTATGCTTGATACCAACTCAGGAAACACAAATTTAGAAAATAAAATAATTGTAATCTCCAAGGTGCAAACTGCGTCGGACGACATGCTATATAATGATCATAATAGGGTTGGTGAGAAACGCCTTGATCCAGGAAGTTATCGGGCGTTTACAAGTTTTCATCCTCATCCTACCTAGTGAGATAAATAGTGTTTGAAGAGGAAGTTGGTGATGCTTAAAAAAGATATATGGAAACATTTAAACAGCAGGTTGTGCCATTGGTGTAACTGTAAACTCAAAAAAAGCACTCTAATTGCAAATTTTAGCATGCAAAGTGAGGATCAACCTTGCCTAGTTTTGTGGTCATTATCCTAGTAAAAGGCATAAAAGAAACATAATGAATTTCTTTTACTTCCCAGACAACTAAATGCACAGTGTTTCCTCAGCCCTCTTTATTCTTTCACTTATGAAATGATTTCAGTCATGAAAATGATTTAAAAATTCATCAGATGTTGATAATTTATTGCGAAGCCAAGTGTATTTTTATTCTTATTTCTCCTATCTTCCCATAAAGTGAGTTAAGTTTTCTTCTGTTTGTTACATGTGTGAATTTAAGAATAAACTGCCTTTATTTTTTAAAAGCATACAGATTTAATCCGTATGTCCTACATAACACAGAAGCCTTCATACAGAAGTGAAGACCCCCCCCCTCCAAAAGTGGTTAAACCTGAGTATTTTTATGCTAGTTTTGATGAAAACTGAAAAGTCTTAGTGAAATGTGATCCTATGAAATACAATAGGAGCAAAGTATAGTAAACCAGGGGAAGCAGCAAGGCTTGTTCATTCAGATTGCTCTCAGCCTCTTGGTGTAGGAAGGGTAGCCCTCTCCTTAGGGTTTAATGACCTGCTTCTGGGTAAGGTCAGAAAGCCTTCCTTGCCCATGCTGTTTCTCAGATCCCTTACGCTTGAAATGTACAATCTGCCAGGGTGCCATATTTGGGGGTAGTGTGTTCTGAGTCTCCTCTTCTATAAAGCAAGACAGTGTAATATATGTTTTTTAATTTAATACTCGTGGCCACAGGGATAAACTGCCTTTAAAAAAATAAACTTCCTACCTACCTTTTTTTGATATAGCGTTTCACTGGCTTTGTATGATTGCAAAGTATTTTTCTTAATTCCATGTGAATCCAAATTGAGTTTTAAAGAAGTATCATATTAATTTGAGGCATTTTTCCTATTTCTTTAGGCCCAGACCCCCTCTTCTCTTTGTTCAGAGGTGCATATATTTCTTCTAAGTTGATCAAAGTTGTAGAACTATCAAGTACCTCAAAGAGTAAGTACATCCTTTGATTATATTTCTCTTCTTTTTGCTACTGTATATCAGGTGACACATTTTTCTCTTCAGCAAAAATGAGTTATAGGATAGACGTTTGTGAGTGCAATGATTGACTTACAGATTTCTAAGAAAACCCAAGTTACAAGTGGAAGGGACTTCAGCTGTTACCATCAAGAATTAATGTAGCTGCTGTTACATGTCTTCTCATATAGCTATTCCTTAGAATTGTTCCCGAAAAGATAAGTAGTAATGGATCCGTGAATTTCTATAGCTCTTAGCCACTGTTCCTGCTCCATACTACTTTGAACTCTATTCAAAACCACAGAACAAATATCCTTTTGAAAATATTTTTATTTGAAATGATATCTTTGATGACTTTTTATTGTGCATCAAATTTTATCCATTTACTTCTCCGAAATCACTGTGGAATAGATAGTCACATGACTCATACGAAGTGGGTGTTTTGAAATAATCCTTATTTGCTTTGGTCAGTAACTACTGCAAAGGGAATGCTCTGTCCCTTTTTTTACATGGCTGTAGTCATCTGTGGTTGTTTGCTGATAGTTCAGAATAAAGGCATGTTCCTGGCTAAAGAGAGTAAGAAATCCTACTAATAATCCTTACAAACCTAAATTTCTGACCATATTCTGTTTTACAAAGGGCTTTACTATTCATGGTCTGACAACTACCGGGGGGACACTTTACAGATGAGTACTGAGGGTCAGAGGGAATAGATAGCCAGTCCAGTTTGGGTCTCTGACCCCCTGGACTGCAATGTGTAGGTGCTCTCAGAAGGAAATAATAAGGAAATGTATCCCAGCTCAAGGTGGTCTCCAGCTAGTGTTCATGGGATCTGTTAAAATGTGTGCTTGGCTTTGTATGTTTTCTGCAGTCCCTAATAAGGGGTTTTCATATGGCAACAAGATGTTTATTCCCCCCCATTGCTATTTCAAAAAGGAAATATAAATGCAAATATAATAAATTATTTAGTTTTGATAAGCAAACATTAATTTGATCTATTATCTACTCTTACTGAAGAGGAGGTATATCCAGTGCATAATGTACTTATTAAATTGAAAACATAAACAGCAACAAAGTCATAAAAGATTGACTCCCTAATCACTGTGGAACTTAATCAGTGTTGCCAAACTTAGATATTTCTAGAAGCATAGTTTGTATATAAATAGCTGGCAAAGGCTTCGTTTTTCTTGGGCAGTTTCTGGGGGAAGAAAATGAACTTTTTGTTTGAAAGAAAATGGAAAGACTGCCAGTAGAGAGTGGAAAGCAGGGGCACAGTCTAGAAGAAGCTTGATGACGTCAGAAAACAGTAGGAATGAATGGGACTGTTGGCAATAGAGCAGATTTATAACGTTCTCTCTGTATCCTGACCAGATCGTATGGGCCTTTCATTTGTTTGTTTGTTCATTCATGTATCAGTAATTGAGTGCCTTCTGTGCGCCAGTGTTGGACCAAGTGAATAAAACAGAAGGCTCTTTGTCCTTCTGGAATTCACATTCTGATGGGAAAGGTAAATACTGAACAAGGAGTTAGCACAATTGCTGCTACGAAGGGAAAAGTACAAAGGTGCTACCAGAGCATGGAACCAGGGGCCTGAGGAAGATTAAAGAGAAGGGTGGGAAGGGCAGGGTCAGGGCCAGGAAACTGGAAACTAGAAAGATGAATATATGTCAGCTAAGCAAAGACTAGGATGGGATTAAGAAAGTTTTAGGAGGAAGAACAGCATGAAGAAAAGACCTTCACAAAATTAAAAAGTGGAAAATTAGTCCTGGTTGGATGTGGCTCAGTGGATTGAGCGACAGCTTGCGACCTGGGTTGTGGGTTTGATTCCTGGTTAGGGCACACGCCTGGGTTGCAGGCCAGGTCCCCAGTTGCAGGCTTGTGAGAAGCAACCTATCGAACTTTCTCTCCCTTTCTCCTTCCCTTCCCCTCTCTCTAAAAATAAATAAATAATTTTTTTAAATGGGAAATTTGAGAAGTTAAAAGAAAAGCAGTATAGCTATATAGACTACAGTGTGTAAGGTGGGAGAGGGACATGTAAGGAGATTGAGAATTTGGCAACCAGTTGGTGGGATTTGAAACTTTAAAAACTTCATTCTGAGGGAGATAAGTCACTGAATAGTAAGAAATGTACTGAAATGATCAGATTTGCATTTGAAAAAAATTTTTCATGATTCGAAATTTGTTGGTGTATAGCACAAAAGTAGAGGTCTTTTTACCCTCAGTACAAACAAATCTTAACCTGAGACTCGGCATTATTTTTCAGTTTTAAATCACTTGACATATTCCTTCTCCTAACTATCCCTATAAAGTATTACTTATCGCTCTAGTGGGATATATGACTTACCAAGTTATATGTGTATGGAGTTAAGAACACCATAAAAAGCAAAGCAGCCCTGGCTGGTGTGGCTCAGTGGATTGAGTGCCTGCCTGTGAATCAAAGGGTCAGTGGTTCAATTCCCAGTCAGGGTACATGCCTGGGTTGCAGGCCGGGTCTCCAGTTGGAGGCACATGAGAGGCAACCATACATTGATATTTCTTTCCCTCTTTCTCTCTCCTTCTTCTCTCTTTAAAAATAAATAAATAAAACCTTTTAAAAAACTAAGGCAGCCAAATAAAGGTGCAAAGAGCAAGGACATTAATTCCAGCACTGAGGTTGAAATTCATCTAAAGTATTCAAGTTAATAGTATTTCCTTTCCTAAGAATGGTGCATCCTTTTGGCTTTGCAAATACAACTTTTAGGCCTTCTCTTTGATCTGAGCTAAGAATGCTTCAGCAAAAGCAATTTCAGGGGACTGATCCATGACTTGTATTGATTTGATGCAAGATAAATTTTACTTTATACCAAAATAAATACTGACCCACCTCTGTTCACTAGCATTTTTTGCTTGTCTGTAGGCAAAGAAATACAGGAATTTATTTATTAATAATAAAGTAGTTCATCCTGATCTTGTTTCTCAATCCATGTGCATTTAGGCACCAGTGATACAGGACAGTTTGGTTGGAGAGTCTCAATGACATTGTTACCCCCGGTATCTGAACCCTGCCTCTGAAAGCAAGGAGGAATTGTGATTGGGTTAGGACTCTGAACAGGTCACCTGAAGGAGTGCCCAAGTTTTGAAAGAAAAAGAGATTTTTTTTTAATGTCTTTACACTTTTAATCAAATCATCATTGTCTTTCATTGCTCAGTAGTTGTTTTTTTTTAACCCTGAATGATACATTTTTATAAACAGATACATTATTGGTTCACTTTGCTTAATACTGAACAACAATTGCTTGCTATGTAGTAATCACACACTGGTTCTCTATTGGTATTTTGAGTTCTTATAAAACAGCATACTGTTACACATTGGGGCAGGGTCCAGATCTTAGTGCCCTCAGTGTCCCTCCAGGGCCTAATGCAGTGCTAAATACTCAGGAAATACCTGTTGAAGGAATGATTGCTCAGCACTGGTACTTCCTTGTTCATTTCTACATCATCGTTAGACTTCGTGAGTACTGTGGTCTTGGAACAGGGCCTGGTACTCATCTATTTAAATATTCCTCAAATGACTGTGCAAGTTGCTTACAGTGTATGGGGGAGACAGGTGGATGAGCAAAAGCCAACAGGAAGCTGAATTCTAGAACTTGATGTCATTGGTGTTACCGAACAGAAGAGTTTGTCCTCCTGGTGCTAGCAGAGCCAAACACTAGACACCAGGAATTGCAGTGGGGAAATATTGGCTATTTTAGTATGGATGGTGCCACCCAGGAGAACGGGGAAGCTAATGCTCAGAAGCTTGAACTCCTGAATGGCGTGTAGGTTACAGATTAGAAGGGCAAAGTCAAACACCATGGGTTAGAAGGTTTGGGGTCATGCCGGGAGCTGATTGGTTAAAAGTGAGGTAAGGGTAATAAATCATTTCTTGACGTCTTGAGGACAGTTCTGAGTTTGTTCTGGTTTCCCTTTATATGGTTCATGGGGAAGTGGCTGGGTGGGGGGTGGTCGTTACTCCTTAGGGTTCAGGAGCTGAAACGTAACTAAGGTCAGGATGTTACCTTTAGTCTGCCCGAGGTCTGGGTGCTATGATCATTAGTCAGGTCCAGGGTACTGTTTTCTGCTTCCCTGGGGGTTGCTAGTTACCCCGGGAAACAGCTAGGTCTCTGAGGAGGAGGCGCTGTTTGTGTGTGTGTGTGTGTCTATATGATATATGATATATATGATGTGTGTGTGTGTGTGTGTGTGCATGGAGGGGGGGAAGAGAGAGAGAGGTGTGATTTCTAGAGGTAGGATTTAAACCTAAATTTAATAAAAGTCATAAGAACCCTCAGTTTCATTAGTTGCATTTTCCAGTGTAAATATTCTCAAACCTGCATCAGAGTTTCCGTTGCTGGACCAAGGTGGTTGGTTGCTAAATTTAAGCAAGAGGGTTTTTCTCCCCAGTTTGCACACACACACAAAAATATGGGCTATAATCCTTGTTTTCTTTTCATCTATAACATTTTCTTAAACAGTTGCTACTCTGGTAACATTGACAGAAAGCAGCATGAGAAACCAGTAATAAACATATCACGGAGTAACTTAGAACTAATTATATGTACATTGAGGACTTTAAATATGGTCACTTGTGCTTAAACTCTGACTTTATATTGTATACTTTTATATGTGTGTACAGGTTAGCATGTACACATACCTGTATTTTCTGCTACTAAAGTTATTCCTGGTACATGAGTAGATTAAATATACAAATACATAATTTTCCCAAGAACGTTGGTCTTCTCATTTGAATACATTTGGTCAAGTCCTAACCCAGTTTTGTAGCATTTTGGTTGTGTTTTTCTTTCTGACCCCTGAACCTCTGGGAGTGCTACTCCATTATCTCAGTAGATAAGATTTGACCCTGCAAAAGGTGATGGATTCGTAAACTTCTGTACTGTATCCAGAAGTAAGAATATTCTCAACCTTGCCACTTTCCCATGATCTGAGTAAAAGAAGTTCCGTAAATGTGCTGCCTTATTAAAGTGCTCTGTCCTTTGCCTCACAGGGGCATGATAGAAGGCAGAGGAAAAGTGGTGTTGGGAGAGTGAATTTCAAACTTTTGAAGAAATTAAAACTGAATAAGGTACTGGTTATAGTTTGTCATATACAGAAAAAAGACACAGCCTTTTAATTTGGGTGAGAGAAAGACCTGGCCACATCTTTTCCCTGAGGTAGCATTAATAAAAATATGTAACCATTACTTCAGAAATTTTAGCATTCATCTTACATGAGCTGTAATAATATGAGTCAATAGTAATATACTAGTATAATAACCAATAACCAGTGGTATAATAAATTGCACGCAGGTCATCTTGAAACAGCCAGGAAGTAGCTGAGCAGAGTAACTTCAGGGACCTTTGTCTTTTCTTTTGGCAAACTCATTGGAGAGGAATCCATTTACATTTTGTAATTTCCGGTGTGCCCAGTATAAAGGAAAGAGGTGTTCGCTTTCTCTTGTTTACCATTTATTCAACACAGGTTTTCTGAACTCCTCCAGTGTGCTAACCATTGAGCTGGTCACTGAGAAGTAATTCATTAACATTTGCCTTGTGCTTATAGTACACTAGACGTGTTTTAAGCACTTGATACTATAGTAACTCATTAAATACTTAGGACAGTTCTGTGAGGTAGGCACTGTTGCTGTTCACATTTTACAGATGAGAAAAATGAGGCACAGAGAAGTTTGCAGCTAAGCTCATGGGGCTAGTAAGTGAGGACGTGGGGTAAGAGCCCAAGCAGTCTGCTGCCCTGCTGTGCTCCTTCCCTGCGCCCGTGTCCTTAGAGCCGCCTTCCCTCTGCTGTGTGCTGGTCTCATTTTGCATTTGCATGAGCGTTTGAGGATGAATTGGTGGTGTTTGTAGTTGATGCTTATTGAGTGCCCGGACCCTGTGTATTCGAATGCCCGATACGTGAAAGTACTTAATGCATGTGTGTTGAACGATTATTGACAACCAGAAGAATTTCAGATGTGATGTTAAGAGAATTTGAAATTAGTGTGGTGGGTCTTTTGATTCGCTGTAAAGAAAAATACTCATCTAAAGACTTTAGTTGCTACATGACTCAGTCAGTGGTAAGCGAGCAAACGTGTGCACACCTGTGCTCTAAGGTCTCACACACATATTTATAGGCATTTTTATTGTGCATATGGAGGCTACAAGGACAGAATTTCCTCTTCTCAGTGACATCATCAGTTATGCTGCTCTCTCATTGTCCCCTCATGCTTTGTCCTCTTGTGTGTCACCCCTAGTTTGACTGACAGTGCTGCACCAGCCTGCCTGCCATGGGCTGTCGGGATGTCCATGCAGCCACAGTCCTCTCCTTCCTGTGCGGGATCGCCTCGGTAGCTGGCCTCTTTGCGGGGACTCTGCTTCCCAACTGGAGAAAATTACGACTGATCACATTCAACAAAAATGAGAAGAACCTGACTGTTTACACAGGCCTGTGGGTGAAGTGTGCCCGATACGACGGGAGCAGCGACTGCCTGATGTACGACACTGCTTGGTACTCATCGGTTGACCAGCTGGACCTGCGAGTCCTCCAGTTTGCCCTGCCGCTCAGCATCCTGATCGCCACGGGTGCCCTGCTGCTCTGCCTGATCGGGATGTGTAACACGGCTTTCCGGTCTTCTTCAGTGCCCAACATCAAACTGGCCAAGTGTCTGGTCAATAGTGCAGGCTGCCACCTGGTGGCCGGGCTGCTCTTTTTCCTGGCAGGTATTGTGAGCCTCTCCCCATCCATCTGGGTCTTCTTTTACAACAGTCATCTGAACAGGAAGTTCGAGCCGGTCTTTACGTTTGACTATGCAGTGTATGTCACAATCGCTAGCGCTGGGGGCCTGTTTATGACCTCCCTCCTCCTGTTCGTTTGGTATTGTGCATGCAAATCTTTGCCTTCTCCTTTCTGGCAACCACTGTACTCCCATCCTCCCAGTATGCACACGTACCCACAGCCCTATTCTGCCCGCTCCCGCCTCTCTGCCATTGAAATTGACATTCCAGTAGTTTCTCACACCACTTAACGGAGAAATAGTTGTTAAAGAAAACTTTTAGCCTCACATTTCTCTTGTACAAGGAGCTGTTTCAGACAATAACACATTTTCATTTGTTTCTGACCAGTCTCTGAAGCCAAATTTGTGTGTTCTGGTAGAGTGAAGTGCTGCTAGTCTTATGAAAAGTACATTATTTTAAATGTGAATCATTTCTTGTATCTTGCTTCGTATGCTAGGAGGACTTTTAACCTCCGAAATGATACCCGATCCGTAATTCAAGTGGAAAGGACCCGTGTCTCAACTGAAATGATGTAGAGCAGCATGATCATGTAAAACTGATGGCTGAGAGAAGCTGTTGGATATGATCTTTATGAGTATTTCGGAACGTGTGTTGTCCTTTCTCTGCAATACCTTAAACCAGTAAAAAACAAAAAGGGGCAATTTCAGATATAAGAAATGTCTTTCAGTAAGGGTAATTGATACCTTTACAGTAGTCTAGCTAGACTGCCAGCTTAAGGCTGTGGCTTTTCTTAGTTCTCTCTCGGGGCTAATTGTATTGGATAGAGTTTGGTATTTTGAAGATTAGGGTTTTTCCTGAGTTCCTTCTACCTCATGCCAGTGTTTAAAAATAAAATGCATTTTAAGTGATAGAGAAAATAAGCCTAGCATTATAAATATATATTGGTATGGATAACATTTAACAATTTTAAGAGTTAATGATTTTATAAATTGTATTCTTGGAGTTAAAATGTGCCATGAGATGGATTGGTGCTTCCTCTGAGGCAGAAAAACATTTTTTACCGATACCATCCACCAAGTGGTACTCGTGCCCATGTATAATCTCTTAGTGACTGAGGGAAAAAAATCAAGAGGCTGAAGTGGTTTGTTCACTTCTAGACAGTGGCAAGGGACAAGCCTCTGTTCTTCAGTGACAAGCATCAGAGGTTCACTCTCGTGACTGCCTTTCGAGTGAAGGGTGAAGTAAGGTATGTCTTCACCGTGACCACGTTCACTCTTGACTCAGTGCCTGCCCCCGTCACTGAGCATTTCCTCTAGCGCATATCTGTGCCCAGCCCTTTAGTAGGTGCTACAGAGGATACACGAAAAGTGTGCAACTGTGTCCCATTCACTAAGAAATGGGAACAGTCTGACTTCATTGGTAGCTGGTCTTAACTCCGAAATCATTGATCCAGGAATATATTTTAACCAGAGACATGGCTTTCTGGTAGACAAGCTTATTGAACAATGCCAGTGATGTTCTGGAACCTAGAAATTCAATTTATTGGATCCTTTAGAGCACCTGTGTTAGCCTAGAAACTGTAATAACACTATATAAGATTCATGAGAACAGGAAAAAGTGGTAGAGAAATTAAATGTTTACCGGTACTTTTCACCTCTAAAAATGTGTTGATGAGAGAGGGGTATTTGAAATCTTTTCTAATGGGCTAAGATTCAGATGAAATTGTTAACACTGAGACAGATGCTTAGGAGTTCAGGGATATTGGGTCTTTACCCTTGTGAATTTGAGCTGCTTACTTAATCGGTGTAATTTGCTACAAATCAGTACTGTGTTCATAAGGATTTTGTTCCAGTAACCATTATCCATTATTGGGCCTTTTAGCATTGCACAAATGGTTAGTTGCATGGTAAACAGATTCTTATGCTTCTGCAAATTTGAGTATGATTCTGGTACTTCGTGGGTGTAAGTGGTACTTTTTTTTTCCTAATTCCAACACTGGTTTATGTATTTAGCAAGTAAATTCAGGTCTATGATTTCTAAATGTCGTTCAGAGAAAACATGCATGACTACAGGCTTTTAGTTACAGCTCCTGATTTCCTTCAGTTCTCTTCCTTTTAACTGTTCTTAGATTGAGCTGAATCTTGATCATTCCAAGACAATGGCAGGTAGAATTTCGAGATTAATATTAATTTCCCCCTTTACTAATTAATTTCAGTCCCCTCTCTCACTCACTTTGTCCAGAAGTGTCAAGAATTCAACCCTCTCTTTGTTCTTTGTATAAACAATGTTATAGAAAAGTAGAATTAACCATTAATATATCAGAGAGTTTTAGCCCATGGGATCATAAATATAAATGTTAACTTTTCCTGCAAGAATCTTTTGGATTCTCTACATAATGTCACCTTAAATGGATATTTATTATAGATTCACTAGACAAAACAAACAGCTGTTTCCCTCTTTGTCCATAATATTTCAGATTTGCTATCAGTAGCTATTTTTCAAAGCCATCAAAGGAAAGCAAGCATTTACAACTCCTTTTTGTAACTTTTGAGCACTCATCAGGCTTTCATTGTGATGGGGGATCTTTTTGTTTTCACGAGCTTAAATTAAGGGCCTTTTGCAGAAGCCAGCTCGAAAAGAAACCTTAAATGTGGTACGATGCACCATTTGGTTTATCCTGTGTGGGAGAAAAGAACCCTAAGTTTACTTTACTTGTAAATATTCACTTTAGTAGATAATACGTTTGTTGTAAGCTGCAATGTAAGACCTCGATAAAATTGCACTGTACTTCTTGATGTTATTAAAAGATGTATTTTTACAAGTTTCTGTTTCTATCCTCCTTTTCCTCCACACTTTGAGGTAAAATATTTTAAGAAATGTTTTTCAAATATATGTTAACTTAAGGCACAATGCCATTTAAAGCAGTATAGAATAGCAATTGGAAAGGAATTAGAAACTGGATTTATTATTTCAGAAGCATCAAGACTGTTTTTTCCATTTCTCAGAGTGGTCCTAGAAGTTTGCTGTTTCAGCATTAAACAAAAAAGCACTAACCGGAATCAGTGTGCCAGATTTGCCTCCTCAGTGGCATTGCCTAAGGGTCTGTGATTCTGGAGAGTGGGAGTTACCCAGGGGTTACATAGGAGGACCTTTCCTTACTCTGTAGAATTTGAGGTCGCCAGGAGCAGTAGTCCTGACAGGTAAGTCACCTTAAAATTTCTGAAACCTGGGATGAGCTTTTCGATTTTGGGATTGCAGCCTTCTGGGGCTAGTTCTCACGTGTACTCCCCACTGAACCCACAGCACCTTAGGTGGTAGAGCCGTGTGTTGCACTGCAAATCTGAAGCTGTGTCAAGCCGGGCATCCCCAGTTGACGATGCTAATGCCCCATCATGCAGAGATTGCCCCTCAGCTGGGTAGGCTCACTGAGGGTGACCAGATGCGAGAGAAGCCTTTCGTGCAAACCAAACTCACAGGAGACCCATTTGCCAACCAGAAATGAGAAATACAGATGACTTGCAACCACTATCCAAGATCAGTTATTAAAAAAACCCCTCCACACAGAGCTCCTTTGGAGAAAAGACTGATCTAGTCCTGGGCTAGGAAAGTACAAGATGAGCCCAACACATCTTGTTCTTCCAGAAAGGAAGGAAATGCTCTGAACCTTGTGGGGCTTCTCAAGTTACTTGGAGGCCGGCCAGAAGAGGTCCTCAATGGCCAGATCTGGGAAATCTGAGCAAAAGAACACAGTAATGGGTTACAACCCAATGAATAAAATCCATGTGTTCATACGGATGTAAATAAGTGGAGAAGAAAGGAAAGCGGTAAACGCCGCCCTTCCGCTCAGGGCGGTCTGTGCGCCACAGCACAGCCGTTCACACCCAGTCTGCTGTTAACGGGGAACTTGGGGTGCTTGTGTATTGTTTGGAAACACACCAAATTCCACGCTGTCTCATAAAACCTTCAAATTTTAAGGAAGAAAGTGAGGCGGTAAGTGAGGAAAGGAAACGTTCTGTATTTTGTATGAAAAACCCAGCGTGACCAAGTCCTGTGAACAGGAGGCTAGTAATCGTGGCTCTGGGGCGAGCTTGTTACCTGAAGTGCTCTGTAAAAAGAGTGTATGAAGTGGGGGTGTTGTTTAATAGAAAACGGTAACTTTTCAGTAGGAGAAAAGGTGTTATTGATACTTAAACTGCATTATACCTAGTGGCTTCAATCCAAGATTCACATTCATCAGTTTGAAAGGAAACTTTCAGTAAATCAAGATCATTTAGTTATATATTTAAGAGTTTCTCCTCTACCCTCATGTCTCTTTTCTTGCCTTCACCCTTAGGCTAGTCCTGTGGTCTGGAAGGTCCCGGTGGGGATTTCAGCACTGGGAGACTGCCACAGGGAGTGGGGAGATCCAGGTCCCCACAGCCCCACTTGGGTGATCAGGAAGCCCGTCCTCCCCCTTGCTGGCCACGTGAGCCAGGGCTTTGGCTCCACTGGTCCCTTCTGTTTCCAACCCGCTAACCTGCTCCTGGCCGCCAGAGCCAAGTGGTACTGGTCAGTGTGCACATCTCTTTCAAACTCCCTTTTCAGTGACATCAGTAGCTTGAAATTGGCCGTGATGGCAGTATTTATGCCACAGAAATTGGCAAATAGTACAAGCTAGAATCTGTTTCTCTTTCCCTTCCTCCCTTTCCCCTTCCTTTCTTCCTTCCCTTCTTTATTTTTTTAAATATATTTTATTGATTATGCCATTACAGTTGTTCTATTTCCCCCTGCACACCCCTCCCCCACCATTACCCCCCTTTAGTTTATGACCACATGTCTCAAGTTCTTTAGATTCTATATTTCCCATACTATTCTTGCCCTCCCCCCATCTATTTTCTACCTACCATCTATGCTACTTATTTTCTGTACCTTCTCCCCCCTTCCCCTTCTCCCACTCCCCTGTTGCTAACCCTCCACGTGATCTTCATTTCTATGGTTGTTTGTTAAACCTTTACCGGCACACACCATTGCCCAGGCAAAATTAATTTGCTGAGCTTCAGGTTAGTTGATGGGGAAATCAACTAACCAATCCTATTGAGTGCTGAGAGCTGTAAAACTGTGATAAAGGGACTATCCCAGTATTGCTCCATTTCCCTCCCTACCACCAATCCATCCTGAACCTAATAAAGTGCGAATATGACCTGGTCTCTCGCCTCCTTAAAATATTTCAGCAACTGACTGTCAGAACAGAGACTAAGCCCTTTAGGTCTGAGTGGGAGGGAGGTCTTGTGCAGTGGTACGCAGGAGTACATCAAAGAACACAGACGCAGGAAAAGCCGAGTGCTCGGCACAGTGTAGCAGCACGAGAATTATCTAAAGGAAGTTTTTCTCACTGTGCCCATAGCTTATAAGACTTGTAACAATTATTGACACAATATCTCACAAATCGAATGTAACAAAGCATGCAGATTTAATAAGAAATATCCTTTTTCAGGGACCACTAGATTGGTCACGTTCCTTATTCAGGGAATTTCTGTTTCCTTTTTGATGGAAAGAGCAACATGATGAATGTGATAACCAGCCTGAAAGATGTCCCCAATGATCCCTGTCTCCTGGTATCCGTACCCTTATGTGGGTCCATCCAACTCTGACCAGGGCTGACCTGTTACCAATGAGATTTTGCAGAAATGGTAGTATGTGACTTCTGAGTTGATTGGTCATAAAACATTGCAGCTTCTGCCTTTCTCTCTCGGATCACTTGCTTTGGGTGAAGCTGGCTGCCATGTTGCAAGGACAGGCACAGCCCCGTGGTTATTGGAGGAGGGACTGAGGCCTCCTGCTAACTAACAGCCAGTGTCAAGTTGCCGGCCATGTATGTTAGGGAGCCAAGTTGGAAGCAGAGGTCCTCAAACCCAGTGAAGCCTTCAGATGGCTGCAGCTGTGGTGACATTGTGATTGCTGCCTGTGTGAAAAAGACCCCAAGCCGGAATCCCCCAGTGAGCTGCCCCCAACTTCCTGACCCCCACAAACTGTGTAAAATAATAGTCATTGTTGTTTTAAGAGGGTAAGTTTTGGAGTGATTTATTATACAGCAATAGATGACTGATACACAAAGCTAAAGCAAATGCAGGGGACCAGTTTTGAAGGATATTTGTTTATGCTATGAAGAGGTATGTGAGCTTTCCTTGCTCTGCATGATAAATAAATCTCACAATCTCAGCTTCCTTTGGGGAGTGCTGAATATTTATTGCCAACGTGTGATAAAACAGCTTAATCTGAAGTGTGTGTGTTGGGCGTGGGAGGTGAGAGATAACAACTTAGATTGGGAGCAGAGTTCTTTGTGATTTTGGTTAGATTGTGAGTGTCAGCGATATTAGCAGAGAACTAAACTGAAGGGTAAACATACATGGAGTTTGGGATAAGAGTTAAATACATTTATAAGGAAATGAATCTGATATTCATAATAGTTATATGATTACTATTGACCACTATATAAAAATAAACCATGGCTATAAAAACACATCATTTATTTTTATCTACTTGATTATTTCTGGGGTTAGTCTTCAGGAAGAAAATAAAGCTGATAATTTCCTAGGTAGGAGAGGAAATAGGTGATTGTAAGACTCATTAGGCAGTTGAGTTAACAAGCAATACCTCCCTCTACTAAGGAAAAAGGTTTGGGACAGGGGACCTGGATTGTTTTGACATTTCAGCACAGCAAATGTAATCTGATGTCTTGCTAACACTTGGCCTCAAAAGGAGCCCAACAAGGTGGTTTAGGGCTCCCATGGGGAAGAAGCCTAAGGACATTGGGCTCTTGGGTCGCAGGAGAAAGGAGATTTGCAGAAGAAAATGTGACCCAAGTGGAAAAGGGCACAACAATGGAAAGCACCAAAACCCAACTTTTCCTACTCTTTAAAAATTTTTGTTTTTAATTTTTGATTTTAGAGAAAGGAGAAGAGAGGGAGCAAAACATTGATGTGAGAGAGAAACATCCATCAGTTGCCTTCCCCACGCACCCTGACCAGGGACTGAACCTGCAACCCAGCATGTGCCCTGACCGGGAATTGAATCAGCAACCTTTCGGTTTTCGGGAGGAGGCCCAACTCGCTGAGCAACACCTCGAGCTTCCTACTGTTTTTTGGACTGCCTCTCTCCCCACGTGGCCTGTGCAACTTGTCAGGCACTAAGGTGGAGAAAGCCATTCCTGCCAAAGTAGACCAGGGAGAGATGAGTACAGTTCCCCAGGTAGAACGGCAATGGCCGTGGAATCAGGTGAGCTGTGACAAGGAACCGAGCAGAAAAAGAGTACTGACGCCTCGTGGTAAAGAAGTATCTGTAATTCAGCTCAAGTGAAATTCTGTGTCCTTAGAAGTGATACCGTGACAGAATGATGGACAAAAATTGACTTTGTTTAGACTTTTAAGATGTCAAAAGAGAAACATGGCAAAGAAAAGAAAATCAGCTTATTCTTATGTTTTTACTTTACAATCCTGTTATTGTCAGTAACATATCAAGAGACTGTCAGCCTAGCCGTCTGTGTTTATGTATTTGTTTTTATTTCTGCAGATGCCTCTGAATTTTTTTGTCAGAAGCAAACTCACTCAGGCTGCCAAGAGAATTAGCAGCGCTGCCACAGTGGCTCAGACTGGAACCGAATTAAACCGCGGGCAGCCAGGAAGCCCCCGCCCCTCCCCCAGTTCCCACCGGATCTGTGCTTTCTGTAGGAATTGTGACTTCAGAGCAGGACTGGTTTCGTGGGCGTGAGACCTGCACATTCACACAAGGCCTTGTGCTCAGAACGGTCCCTCCCTTGGTTCAGCATTCTGTG